ACTAAATTTCAGAATAATGGGCACCTTTTTGAACACAAACGAATACATAGGGCTACGTGGAGAGTGCCGGGAAATACAGGCTCAAATCAAATTGATCATATTCTTGTCGATGGCAGGCATTTTTCGTCAATCCTCGATGTTAAAGTTTGCAGAGGAGCTAACTTCGACTCAAATCACTGTTTGGTAAAATCTATAATAAGACAGAGAGTATCTAAGATAGAACAACAAAATATAAGAAAAGTTTGCAAATGGGATGTAGATAAACTGAAAATAGCGAGTAATCTGGATAGGCATCGCAGCGTGATACAAAATTAATTCCAAGAAGACATCTCAAAGCGAATTCAATTGAAGAGAAATGAATAGAAATCGTAATACTCAACTCGGCAAAAGAAACAATTGGTGAGATGAGAGCTGTACGAAGTGTGGAATGTTTCGATAAAGAATGCAGGGAAACAACTGCGTATAAATTTTGTAGAAAGAAAAAAAAGGGAGTTTTACAAGACAAAAATCAAACAAATAGATGAAGAAAGAATGAGAAACAGTATAAGGGATTTCTATAGTTAAATAAATTGTATTAGTAGCAAATATGAACCAAGAGCTTTTGCATGCAAGGATAAAAATGGGATAGTACGCACTGAAACAAACCAAGCCATAGAGAAATGAAAGGAGCATTTCACCGACTCATAAAACTTCTACAGCATAAATGAAGCGATATCGGTAAAAACTGCAATACCGCAACTGATGGCAAGTTACGATCTTCCGAGCCTAGGCGACGTGAAAAATTCGGTGAAAAGGTTAAAGTTAAAGAAAGCGCTAGGAGAGAACAATATTACATAGAAACCGAAATGCACTCCTTGATATGTGGAATATGGCACAGCGAACAACTGCCAGAAGCATTGTAAAGCAGTTTAATCTTCCCAGTCTATAAGAAAGGCAACAAACTTGAATGCGGCAACTGCAGACCAATCTCGCTGCCCGATGTTGGCTATAAAATTTTCTCTAATATTTTAAAAGATAAGCTTCATGAAGCAATTGGTAAAACTATAGGCGAGTATCAATGCGGTTTTAGACCTGGTAGGTCAACAATTGATCAAATATTTGTGCTACGTCAATCGATGGAAAAGTGCTATAAGCCTCCAAGGATCAGAAATCATAAACGGTCTGGCGTGGGCGAGCGCCCCGCAAAAACTTACTCGATTGGTCGCAATGATTCTTGCGAACTCATCAGGCAAGGTTATTATCAATGGACACTTCTCAGTCGTTTTCAATAAGCTCTGGAGTTAAACAGGGTGACAGCCTTTCAGCATTCTTGTTTATATTAACATTACACTACGCCATTCACTCCATTGAAAATCTCGTCATATTAAACAAATACCTCAAGCTAGCAAGAGGGAACGAGGGTACGGGTATCACATATCAATTGGTGAATACAATTTTAAGGTTGTTTGCAACTTTACATACCTCGGTGCGCCGATTAGCAAAAATAATGATTGCAGAATCGCAATAAGAAATAGAATACAAGCAGCAAATAGATGTTTTTAAAAATATTTAGACTTAATGAAATCAAGACTACTATCCAAGGAAAGTAAGCTACGAATGTACATGAAAATAATAAGACCGGTAGTTACATATGGGTCAGAAACATGGACAATGACGAAGGCGGACGAAGAAGCTTTAAAAATTTAGAAAGAAAAATAGTTCGCCAAATCTACTGACCAATCCAAATTGATGCAGTAACTTTTCAAAGACGATCAAATAATAAAATTGAAGAACTGCTTAGAAACGAAAATATAGTGAGATACATTAAGTTGCAAAGGTTACAATGGGCTGCTCATGTAACAAGAATGGGGTCGGAGAGAAAGCCGAACAGCATATTCAACGCAAAGCCGATGACAACCAGGCACAGAGGTAGGCCAAGAACAAGATAGTTTAGAACGTGTATGATGATGCAAGAACGATTGGAGTACTGAACTGGAAGAGAGTAGCAGAAGATAGGGAGAGATGGAGGCAGATCGTGAGGGAGGCCAAGGTTCATACTGGACTGTAGTTCCAAATAAGAAGACGAAGATTTCAAATTAAAAATATTCTATTTTTCTTAAAGCAATAGTGCTTGATAAGAAGATGTGGAACCTTTATTGTCATTATTGAATTTAATGACCTAATAAAACATCATTAAATGTTTTATCAATTTGATTAGTAAAAAATGTATACAATACTTCTCTTTGTAAATTTAAAAATTATGTACAGAGAATATTAAACATCATGATGCCAAATGTTTATAGCCTCAGATGATGTGGTCGTTTAATAGGAACATTGGGGTGCCATATTGACAAAAATATGCCTGAAATTGATTCCTATCGATCGATAAGAATGATGGAGTGCATTTTTCATTATTTATATTAATGTCAAACAGATCTTTTGAATATAATATTTCTATGGAATGGTTAAAGCTTATTCTTTATCCTTACCACCAAGAGAACCAGCAGCACCACCTCCAGAAGAACCAACCGCACCACCACCTCCACCAACTTCACCACCTCCACCACCTCCAGCAGAACCACTCGAACCACCACCAAATGAAGCAGCAAGATTGCCTCCGAACGAAAAGCCAGCGTCTCCATTACCTGGAATAAGTCACATGTTTTAATTGAATCCCATATTGAGAAACAATATCCTTGTCGTTACATGTCATTATGCTGAATAGGAAGAATCCTAATAATAAAATCTTGTTCATTTTGACTTTTAGTTTTGTTTTTGTTTAGTACTAACTATGCAAAATAAAATCGAACTATTGTACAGATAGATCACGTTTGCTTGGGTATATATACTATTCGGAAAACAGATTTATAGTTTTCAGAAATTGAAGGTCACTTAGCAAACGCTTACGTTACACACGAGCAATTCGATACGCTCATTACAAATGTTAACTAGCGGAACCTTTTAGTTTTCTTAACAGATTTAACAAATTTGTTATTTTATATCACAAAAAATTGACTAAAAATTCTCTAGACTCTCTTCTTTAAATTGAAGGTGATGAATAGTTAGTTATATAAACCAAAAATTGTTTACTGATTTACGATTCTATAACTCAATCTATAGTCTCAAAATTATGTTAGTACTGAATTAATGATATTAAAATAATCAATTTCTCTAAGAGACAAATATACGTCAATCAGTTGTTTTTTAATTGGCAGTGGGACGCGAGCTGAACTTACAATATTCCATATGCGGCTTTTTATGTTGTCCCTGTTCAATGATTCGGTATTTCAGATTAAGTGAAGAAGATTCGTGTAGTCTACAATCGTTATCTCTGCTAGGTCAATAAAGAAACTATTTAATATATATAAATAAATGAATACTTTTTGCATTCGCATTTCCAAGAAGAAACATAGAAAATGATTGATTGGTTACGCTCTTTATATGGAAGTGATTAACGGAAATGGGACTACTTGTATTATATAAATATATTGTAATAATCGTATTCATTTATATTTAAATATTCTCTTAAATATAATTTATTCTGAGTGATTAATGGATCCTTTACGAGTTCTTACAAGTCGTGGGTAAGCCTTAATAACTGATTTGAGAATTTCTCAAGAAGATTAACAATTCCAATAGTAAGAAGAGTTAATCCTCATATTTTAGCTAACTGCAGGGTAATATTACTATCGAAGTACAGTGTGAGGATATTTATTGGACTGGTTAGTTCAAGACTAACAAAATGGGTAGCAAAGAATACACAGATGGATGAATTTTAGACAGGTTTTTTATAAAATTAGTCTACGGTGAACTAAATTCTAACTTTTCTAACCGTCCCTAGATGTGTCGCTGAGGGTACCGGTTTACGTTTCTCTTGTGATCGTTATATGTAATTCCGAATTCTACATTATTCTTCAGTTGTATTAGGTTGAAACTCTCTAGAATGATACACTTAATGACAGAAAAGAAGAAGCCAGAAGAAATTCACCTTCAAAATAGATATCACCACCACCTTCATAGGAAGCAGTACCTGTGTTGGCATCAGTAGAAATAGTGTTTGTAAGATGCAGGTACGTCATTTCCATGACCAACAGTAACATCTACATCGACTTAGACTGAAATGCCAGCTTTATTCAAGGCGAAAATATGATTTTTCTCATTTTGCTAACGTTTTTGTTAGGTATTGACTACATAAGATGTAGTCAGTACATCAGTACATACATTTTTTTCTTTAAGTTAGCTACAATTCTTATTTCATTGCTTCAACTAATATTTTGAAGGTCACAACAGACTTCACTGCTTAGAGTTTCATTATTAAAGAACGACTTTAAGTAGTAAAGTTGGTTAAAAATTCAACTATTCTTATAAAATAAATTTGATAGTAGGTATATATTATTTTTTAGTTGGCCTTTTAAACAAAAATATCTTTATTTTATTAATAAAAATGTTTATCGAAATTCTACTTATATTATGCATGTATAATGCATAATGTATTGGAGACAAAAAAATTTTGTTTTATAACAAATCTTCTTTTTGAGAGGTAGATTATGATAAGTGAGGATATATTGTATGGTTTCAAGTTTCGATATGAGGTGACTTGAGTGGAGTCCTTTTTGGGCTTGGGTGTCATCATAATTTAAGATAGCTTTCAGTTGTTTCGAAAATACGCAGTCCTTAGAATAGCATTATAAATGAAAAGATGCTGATCTTTGCCGATTTGTGCGATCTCTTTTAACATTTTCGCTGTTATTAGGTCGTTTTTTAGTGGTTTTTTATTGAAGTAAATCGTCGTTTTGTAGTTTTGTGTGAGGGAAGCCAGAGGGTCTAGTTTTGTTAATGTAGAGTTTGGGGTGAATACATATTCAAGGTGATCTGCAAAAGCAGTGCCCAACAAATTGTGCTGGTGACAAGTGTGGAATAAAATTTTTGTGTTCTATGCGATTTTTTTCTTTAAGTAATCTCTGCAGTGCTTTCGTAAGATTCTTAAGTTGTCTTTTAATTCGGGTGGATCTTTGTTGTTGTTATTGGGGTCGTACTTGTCGTTTCACCTGTATAAGGGTTGCATTTTCGTTCAATGTGTGATAGTTTATAGGTTTGTGTGGTATTAGGGCTGGGGTTGATATTCGAGCGGCTTGCTGTAGTAGAGCTGTGAAGTCCT